ATAGGTCACCTGGTGATAAAAGAAAATAAGATTGGTCAAGTAAGCCCTACCCGCAACAAACCCATGCTGGCTATCCCTCAGGATGTTGCCATCAGCTAGTCTGTTAAGAATGGCCTCTTTGATAATCTTTTCTAAGACCTTCCCTGGGATAGGGGTCAGGCTGATGGGCCTGTAGTTTGCCAGATCCACTTTCCTCTCTTTCTTGAAGATAGGCACCACATTGGCCTTCTTCAGTCTTTGGGTACTTCACCAGAGTGCCAGGAGTTCTCGAAGATCTTTGACAGGGACTGAGCTATGATGCTTGCCAGCTTCTTGAGTACTCTGGGGTGCAGACTGTCAGGGCCGGCTGACTTGAAGGTGTCCAGCCTCTCAAGGTGTTCCTTCACGAGGTCAGCATTGATGGAGGGCAAGGAATCTCCCTCACTCAGGTGAGGAGTCTAAGAATTAATCAGAAATAAATTGAGACATATCAGGTCTGCTCTGGAGTAACATACTGTAACTTTTCTCAGTAGATTCTATTTCTGGAATTAGCAAATATGATTTTGTGATTGAATTTTGCACTGACCACTGCTGTTTGGGATTTGTTTCCCACTCAGAACTTGTCTACAGAAATAATTAAGAGCTGTTATAATGCATATATTGAACATAGGACTGATATAAGGTGCCAGCAGCAATGTCCTAGCTTTGTCCTCCTTCACTTTGCAACCTCAGCAGTGTTGTTTTTAATGTAGATTATTTGTGTGTGATTTCCTAGTAATTTAAAAGCAAATCAAAACAAAGAAAAAAAATCCATCATGTGGCATCAGTATTGACAGCTGTATGGATTATCAGTAGGGTCTGACTCTTTATAGTCCCAGTACTTGTCTTTGACTCCCAATTTCCTCTCCCAGCTTGCTTGTAAAAACCAGCATCAAGGCCATACGTTACAGGCAGAAAAAGCAGCATTCCCATTTTTTAATTGATAAAGCTTAATGAAAAATGCAGTTTATTTAAAAAAAAGAATAGTAGTCCTGGTTAAGTATGACTGAAATTCATGACTCTTTAAAGGAAGAAATGAAGGAATCTAATGCCATTTTGAAGTTCTGTTGCAATTACTGGAGCCAAATGATTTTCAGGTTGCTTGGTGTGAGGTATTGGGATAATCGTTCAAATATTCACAGATTTAGATTATTGGACTTACTTAGTTTAAAGGAAGTGTGGTAAAAATTGTGTGACCTGAGATACTTAAAACTAAGGAACAGGAAAAGTACTGGCATATAAACTGTTGGGAAAATCTGGTGTTTATTGGTATTGGACTATATATTATACAAAATGTGGTATGAAACTTCTGGGTTTTCTGCATAGCCTCTTTGGCCATAGAGGGAAGCATTCATCAGTCTTTTATCAGTTGCCCTTCCTGCTGGTTGACGCCCATTCCAGGCCTTCCTTAATATTTCCATTTAACTTTTAATCTACCTGATGGCATTCTGTGTGGCTGTTTTGTCATTTCTGGTGAAGTGTTTCTTTGTACGCACCAGAGCTCAAGTTCATGAATGCCATACCACCAAAATCAGGAATGCAGAAAGGCTGACCAGGTAAATTCAAACTGAGCTTCATTTATTCCAGGGGCTTCAGGAATTCTGGGTATTCAGTACTAAGAGAAGTAAAATGTGATGTCTATAGAGAGGAAATTAACACCAGGTACAAACTAGGGGAATGTAAGCAACCAGGTGCAGCCTCCACATGAAAGTGGATTTATTATTTTTATATTGTCATTCATCTACACTTTGAGTGTCTTATGATATCAAAATCCATAAGAACCATTGGCTGAGAGGGACTCATTAAGTAGATTTCTCCATCTCCAACTCCCATGCTTCTGTATAGATTTAAACAGTATAATGTTTTTTTAGACCTGCTGAATTTCCACAGCAGCAATGGATTGTGGATATCTGCCACAGAAAATGTCAGTGAAATACAGTGGAATTTCCTGGCGGAAGGACAGAAATCCTGTGGTTAGCAAAATAGAGTTTATTAAATAATTTACCAGTGTAAAGTCCAAGGGTTTTGTTGCATGCCTTCTGACTTCCTGTTAAGATCAATGAGAAAGAAGCTATGCATCTGAAGCCTTGTGAAGGTATGAAATTGCCCATCAAAGACATGAAATTGCCTATTGAAGAGGGAGGTAGTGGCGGAAGAGAAAAACTGAGACTGGACTGGGTTCTGCAGCAATTCTACTAGGTATGCTGAATATACGGTACCCAGTTTGAAGAACATTTAGAATGGTATCACAGTCTTGTACCCATACTGAATACTTTGTACTCCGTAGTTATGACTGTACACAACAGCATAAAGAAAGCAGAATGTCACCCTGAATGTAAAATTTAAAAGGTAAAAGTAGAAGATTGAAACTTAAGTAGTACAATATTGTTTTAGATAGGTGAACAACTTCTTTTCTTCACTAGAAATGTTAAAGAAATAATTTTTGCACTCAGTCCTTTGCAGGCATAAGATGATCATTGGGGAAGAGACCTGAAAGAACAAAAGTATATATAAATAAAAAGAAAATATAGGGACTACCAGATGGAGGAGTTTTGAGGATTTTCAGAAAACTGTCCTGGGGAAAATAAACCACAGTGTAACTGAATCACATTTCAGAAACTAAATTGTATACCAATCCATTTTTAAGGAATGGAATTACATGAAGAGCTTCATAACCTTGGGGCAAAGGAAGGTCTGAAAGGAAGAAAACTAAGCAAAGCCATTGAAAGTTTTGCATGGAATATTACAGTGCTAAAGGTAAGCAGAAAAGGTACTCCCTTCTCAGAAATAATGATTGGATTTCTATATTTGTTTGTACTTCTATCTAGTTGGAAATGGTTGCAAATATAATGATAGAAGTGTTTTAAGAGACACTATATCAGGATGACAAAAAAGAAACAATTATATTAAGAAATGGAAAATCCAGTACTGTACTGATGATTGCATGGTTTTTTCTCAGACAATATTTCTACTATATCAGCAGAATTTGTATATGATCAAGAAGTGCAGAATTGCTCAAAATCTGCTGCTACAATAGTAACAATGTTCTCATTATCCCAGTATTAACTGAATAAAAGGCATATTAAAACTTGTTTTTCAGAAACTTTTTACTCTTTTAGAAACCCCAGTTAAGAATTATTGTATTGTGCATCAAGCAAAAGTTAAATCCAGGGACTTAAAATGGTGACTAAGTGAGTTACAATTACCAGTTACACAGTAGCATGTAAAATCATAATACAGGAGTAAAAGGGCAAGTAAAACAATGAGGAAAAATAAGTCTAAGCAGGTTGATGGGCAAAGATAGAATGTAAAATCCAGAGATGGGTCCAGCACTAAAGGTTTGGTTCAAGATGTGATCTTACCCAAAACCTGAGAGTGTTTGAAATCAAGTTGTTTGGGGAGAGGGGTATTATGTGACTCAACAAAATAATGTCAAAGATGGTTTTGAAGGATAGCGTGTTAAAACTATAGAAGACTTGTCTGTCTCTGAGTATCAGGAAAAGGGAGATTGAAATCAGTGGAAAAGCAAAGAATTGTTTGATGACTAGACCTGCTAAAGTCCCCATGTCCTTTGAATAGTGGAAATATTGGTCATATGTTGCTATGTGTGTTCAGCAACTTACTTCTTGTAAGACAGTATTATTTTTTTCTGGTAGCATCTAGTAGAGCACTGTCAGCATTTCCCAAAAAGAGAAGAAGGCTCATCTCTTAGCGTGGGGCACAGATATTTTAGAGATGAGCAGATGTGCGTTATATACAATATATGAATGGGATAGGTGTTGGCTCTATTTTGGTAATATAAAATGATGTTAACATAATGTTTTGTTTTAATGAGTTTTATAAGTTATTCCCAATTGTTTCTCGTACTTGGGAGCTAGGAACAAGGACCCATTTGAAGCTGAACAAGAGATGAAGGAAGATCTGGTGGTTGGTGCCCTAGCTTGAGACTCAGGAATTCTGGGTTCAGTTTTCTGCCCTGTTACAGGCCCCTTGTATGACTTTGGATAAGTCAATCTCTCCGTACCATAGTTCTCCATAGGTAAAATGAGCAAATAGTGTTTCCCCACCTCATGGGTGGAGGAAGGATTGCTGTGAGGATTGCGGGGCACTGCAAGGATAGTGGGGCGCACTGCAGCACTGTGAGATATCTAAGTACCAAAGACGGACAGTTACGTAGAGAACTACCACAGAATTGTCAAGGGATGAATGAAAGTAAATCTTTTCTTTCTTCTTCTCCAGACAGAGCAGTCCTGTCTAGGTGATTTCATCCACTTACTTGCTTTAATTACATCTTCTATATTGGCAACTTACAATTTGAGACATGTGATGGTAGATGAAGCTTCTAAGAGTGGACACGATAAAAGAGGAGAGGGTCAAAAAAGGAAACCTGTGGAATCACAGGACATGGGAAGGAAGGACCTGCTATCTTCCATTTTCTGAATCAAGCATTCAGATAAATCCTTACTCCACATCCCCATTCCTTGTCTTGTTCCCCATGGACCACACTGTAATTGTTGAATTCCCCCAGTCCTTCACAGATGTTTCCTTTATCAGTTTCTGTTTAAATGGGGCAACATATTTAGAGGCTTCTCTGAGATTTTCAAATGCCACTTTGTTACCCAGATTCCTAGAACTTTGACCTGAAATCCCAAAGCCACAAATAGCATTTTTTGAAAGATTTATCATTAGAGATACAAGCAAGTGGGTACCTGAAGAGTGTTGGTCAGAATTACAGTAAGTGGCATGCTTTGATCCATTATAGTGTGTGTGTGTGTATGTGTATGTAGATGTGTGTGCGCGCGCGCGCGCGCACACACACACACTTTCTTAAGACAGAAGGAAGTCATAGGAAAGTAGAGTTTGGGAAATTAGAAAGTGGAGAGAGGTCACTTGTGTTAGCAAGGGCAAGAGTAGAGCTGGATGATGGGTAAAGTTTATATGCACACTGATCAGCCATAAAAGAGATGGAAAGTGGGTAATGGTATCGTAAGTTCAGTTAATAGGATCTCCATGAAATTACAAGGCAACAGATTTGTAACATCTGGAAAGAAATGACTTTTTACACATTGACTAACTGCAGTTAAGAACTTAAGTGTGTTTAAAAAAAGATATAATTAATAAGAATAGCTTCAGTTATATTGGAATAAAAGGCCAATACAGGATATAAATCTTATGGTTCAGAGCCTGAGGCAGCTCTAGGCTGTGCACATTTAAAAAGGAATATCCTGTCTTTATCCATTATGTTGGTTTTACACGTTCCTCTGAAGCAGCTTGTGTAGGTCACCAACTGAGACAGAACATTTGACTAAATGTAGCACTGTTTGGATCTGCTTTTTAAAGCGAGTTACTGAAGTGAAAAAGCAAGCTTTTTAAAGTGAGTTACTGAAGTGAAACACTAAAGGTAATTTTAAAGTGAATCACTTTTTAAAGTTAATTATTTATGAAG